GGGTGGCCCCAGCGGCTGCCTGGCCAGCCCAGCTCAGGTGCTCTTACCTGAATATGGCCCGGTGGGTCTGCTCCTGCTCCTCCCCGTTGATGACACAGGAGAAGAGCCCGAAGGATTCTGCACCTGTTGGTGAGGGGAATAGGCTGGAGGACGATGGTCCCAGCTCTGGCTAAGGTTTGAGGAGCAGGAAGAGAGCGTTCAGGCCTTAGGTCTCAGGCCTTGAACCAGATGGGCCTGAAGCCACCTCCTGGGAACACCCTGATTCCAGCTCTCCCTACCCAGGGCCCCCACAGCTCCCCACTGCAGACTCACTGGAGGATCGAGAGTGGCCACTCATGAAGACATTCAGGAACTTCTTGGAGAAGTGGACGTCGGGTTCGTCGGGTGTGGAATCCTCGGAGAGGCAGGTGGAGGGCCGCGGCCGGGGGGCCTCCTCATATTCCTCCCCAATGGCCGACTCATAGGGTGAGGAGGCAGAGGCGCAGTTGTCATAGACAGTAGCCGAGTCACTCTCGTCGCTGTAATCTCCGAAACACGGCTGCAGGCTCACCAGCTCCAGCTGCGCGTGCTCATCCACCACCAGCGTGTACTTGACCGAGTCGTAGGACAGAGCACTCGTGTCCGAGCTCAGCGAGGCCCGTGGGGGCGGCGGCGGCTCCCCCAGGCTGCCCCGCCACCCTCCACCTGGTGGCTCAACCCGCTCTGGGGATGACAAGCAGTCGAAGCCCTCGTCCTCCTCACTGATGGAGGGGTGTGGCCGCCCTGCAGTTGAGGGGTAGGCGGCAGGGTCTGGATCGGAGCTGACTGACATCCGGCTCTCAGCTGGCGGTAAAAAGGCAGAGGTGGGCTCTACAGGGTCTGGGGGCCTCTGCACTGGTGTCAGGTATATCTCCTCGGTGGCCTCTAGTCGCACATCTGCCTGGTAGTGGATGCGGTCTCGATGCGAGTGACCCCGGCCACCAGGTGGGGCAGCAGGAGGGCCATTGGGAGGTGCCATCTGGGTGGCAGCACTGCGGCGGCAAGGGCTGTCGGTGGAGGTGCCTCGGTCCTTGGTGGGGGCGGGGCTGCTCTGGGGTGGCAGCTCATCGCTCAGGCAGATGTGCTCATGTGGAGGTGTCTGCTCCCCTGGAAAGCAGGCAGATCAGTGCTGAAGGCAGGTGCCCTCGCCCTTGACACCCAGGCTACCTGCTCCTTCTTCTCAGCATAACCACTTAGCAATAGGCCATGGCCAGCTCTGGGGCCAGCCCTCTCACTTGTGCCACACCTGACCTCAGATGGGCCTATTCAAGGATGCGGAACAGGCAGTTTACCTCTACTCGAAAGCTG